GCCAGCAATCCATGTGGATCCGTAATGCCGCACTTGCAATTGGCCTTAAGTTGGCCCAGGCAAACTCGTCAACATGATTTATTTTTGATAAATTACCACGGCCGACGCTCCAACTAGACGCATTTGCGACATCGCGGCAATTTTGCAAATGATTTACACGGAATGACACGGAATTTAATTTCAAAATTCGCGAATGTTGTTCACTTGCTGGGTGGCAAACATGAATCTCGCACTGTGGCTTTCCTTGGCTTCGTTTTCCATTCCCATTCCCATACCCATTTTCCTTTCCCGTTTCCATTTCCATTTCCTTCGCCGGGATGAGTGGACATTATTTATAATTGTGCTATCATAGTCAATCCGTCATGGGGCCCTCCATCCGATCTACTTATATACGCTGTCTATTTATAATTTGGCACTTGCACAAGTGTATTTGGTAATGGGAGTGTTAAATGCCATGAAGAAGCTGTCAAATAAATTAACTTGCCACAATACGTGCTTCTTGGAATTTCCTTTTATTCAGTTGTAGGGAACAATCGAAAATATCCGTTACCTTTAAGTGCATAATAAGAATGGCATCAGATTTGTGTAAGATCTGGTTAGTTGGCAGATCAATTAGTTTTGCGAAAAGTTAAGTAGCTGCCATTTGACAAGCTATTGCAAAACATTCGCTTGCCTGCTCAAAGTTTGTAATTATCCGCTTTATAGCATACTTTTTGTGTTGTAACGAATGAACTTTTCGGTGATTTCGTAAACTTTGTATATCCTTGAACTCATTTCGGTCCTCTAAAGTACAGGTGTGTGCTTAAAACTTCGCATGCCACTCCCTCTGGAGGGACTCAACTTGGCCGCATCCTGCCTCATCGGTGGAGGAAACTTTTCTTGTTGCAACGGATGCGCAAGGACACGACCAGGATTGTAGTCAATTAAGCAGACTCAAAGTTGAGCTCGGTGCCTAATAAAGATTTATTTTTATTTTGTCGGTACTATTAGTGTTTATTATTAGCTGCAGAGCAAGGCACTTTAATTGCACTTCTTTTGCGCTTAAAAATGGTGTTTCTCTCTTGAGTTCTGCCTTTTTTACGAGGCTTTCAAATAACAGAGCTAAAGGATACTCATTTCTAATGGTTACATGTACTTAAATCCTTAATATAAACACTTAAATGGATTGATTGAATAAAACAAAAACATCGTCTTAAAAAACCTAACATTTTTCTTATATTTATTAAAATGCATAGAAGATAATCTAATAGAATGTATTTATGTTGTGGATAAGTACATTTAATTTCTTTTGAAAAGTGCACCTCAGTGCTACATGTTAAATAACTTACCATCGGATGTCGGTCACCCTTTCTCTACTTTCGAGGACTCTTCCCCTTCACTTTCTTCGTTGGACTGCTACAGCGCCTCATTAAATCGCAATTAGAATGAGTTGGTGACACCGCGAGCCACTTTCGACGTGGTAATCATGCCAAGCACCTAGATCTTCTTCGTTTCTGAGACCCAGTCACTTCCAGGGGCATGTGGCAATGTCGGTCGTGACGCATGCCACCGACGGACGGACAGCTGTCCATACAAAGCATCTACTTATAATTGCCCAGGGCCCCACAAGCCATATGTATCTAGCTAAGTTATCACGTGCGGTGCTGGGCAGCGATAATTCTGGAGTGGAGGAGCGGAGCAGTGCTACGGAAAACCAATTGGAGATTCGGAATCACGTCAATTGTTGCGACAATCAATCGTGACTGCGGATGGGATGTCGATGTCAAAACGCCGACAAAAGGGAACGCACGCGCAAAGAATTCGGAGGAAAGGGTCCCTACCTATGTCTATGTATATGCCCGTTCCCATTCCCATTCCCATTCCCATTCCCATACCCTTTCCCATTTCCAATAGCTATAGTCGTTCCCATTCCAAATCGGTTGCTTTTGACTCCGAGGGCGATCGGCACTTGAGGCACAAAGAGCACCGATTTGTTGATTTGTTTTGAGAAGTGAGTAAATAAGTATGTTTCCATTTATGAATGTGTTTGTTCTTGCTGGTGTTTCTGTTCTGTTTGATCAGCAATTTCATTTTCGAGTGCCATCGATAAGATGGCCAGGTGATGATAGTGTGCCAGTTATCTTGAATGGCTGATAACGCCAAACACTGATTGGTGAGTGGAGCTCCCACCTACCGGCTATCTGCCGCTAGAGTTCCTTCTAAAAATGGAGAATATGCCCGGGGATTATGGCCAATTTGTAACAGAATCTTTAGTGTTGGCTCCCCTTGGAGTCGTGGCTTAAACTGCAGCTCCCACTATAACTCCAACTCCACTTCGCCCAAGTAGAAACCCAAAACACAAACGAAAACAAATTCATTTAAAGCAATTTGCATGAAGAGAGAGTCCTTTTTGTGCTTGTTACGGTGACTTTATCGTTTATCGTTTTGCGAAAAGGATTTTATTATATTCACCAGAAGCACTATCCTTTTGCCTTCGCATGTGTGCGTGTGTGTCTGTGCGGCAGAAGATTTTTCGCCGTGAGGAAAGTGTATGTGTGGAGTATCTGTGTGTGTGCCACATACTGAAAAGCGACAATTTCATGTCCAAATGCTTTCCAGGTGACATGAAACAACACTTAAGTAAGAAGCCTTTCAGGGGAAGGAGGTGGGTGTGAATATTCAGCCTGCAACTCTCTGTGCAGCTGTATCCACGCCACCCACTCAGCCCACTCAGTACAACCAAACCACCCACCCACCCACTCACACACATTAGCAGTTCAATTTGTGCATGTGTGTGTGTGTGTGTGCGAGTGTCTCTGAACCAACGCACCTGGCGTCGAAGAATAATATCTCTTAACGCCAAAATCTACATTTAAATTGTTTTCAATATAATCTGCATGTCCTGTCCACCGAGTGAGCAATGTTCGAGTGTGTGCTGCGCTAAATGAAAACAGAGCTCAGACAATGGGAATCCTGGGATCAGGACATTTATGGGCTCGGGCTAGGTGCTCCCAAGGATATGCGACATGTGCCACAGTTCACATGTCCGAAATCATCAAACAAATCACTCAGAGATATTGATTCAAGGAGTCAGCACTGCGGAAAATCGTAGTTGGAGTTAAAAAGTTTTGAAATTACCATCATAGAGCATATCATCCATTATTTTTTGATCAAGAATATGACCAAGAACACTTAAACTTATTTAAATTCACATCCAATTTTTCCTGCTTATATGGGGACACAGAAATTGTTCAAATATTTGATTACTTTACCTTACTTTTTGATTAAGATTGTTCCCAATTAAGAAAATACTGTTTAAATTCGAACAATTTTGAGAATTAGAATTTTTAAAGCATATATTTCACTACTGCTTCAATTTCATCTATGTATTCTTCATTCAAATGCGTCTCTTTCATGTGCATCCTTTCGAATTTCAGATCACCAGACTCATGAAGTGGGTGTAGAATTTCGTGGCGCCGCCAAGAGCGTCCAGCAATTGATGCCACAATAAGAGTAACGATCACGAGTTTGGGCGGGCGGGCACTTTTCCCAAAAATACCCGGTGCATTTTCATTTTCCTATGCAAATGACACACTGCAGCACACACACTTAGATGTGAGTACGTTTGTAAGTACCGAAAAAAGTGCCACATGTGCGTCTCTTTTGACTTTGAGATGCGCTCGCATTTATAATAAATGGCAGCGCGTTAACACCCCAAAACATCAAAATACTCATTTTACAGAAATTCCCCAAAAACGTTCCCCTCCCCGCCCGCTCCGCTTACCATTAATTAGAACGCACTCGACTCAAGGACCCTCGAGTGGACCGGCCACGCCCCCTTCCTCGGATCGAATGGAATCGGATTGTTTGTTTGTTTTTTCTCCCATTTTGGTATCTTGTTACGATTAGCTAGTCCCAATTAGCTACGATTTTCGGGATTTGGCCTTGAGTTGTTGGAAAATTAGGACCTTTTATGGAAAATGTATGTGCAATGCATATATAAAGCTATTTTTAAAAAATACAGTCTTTAGAGCTGTGAAAAACATGATATATCATGAAATGCTGGAGATACCATTAACTTATGAATTTATTTGTCTTCAAATAAATTTCGATCTTTGCTCTTAATTACTTGCACAAGCTGGACTTACAAAATAATAAAGAGTGGTCTTTTAATATAATATTATTATGCTATTTACACCACCCAAAAGTTAATAATACAGAACATTTCTTATTAGGAACCATTTCAGCAAAAAAAATATCTTAAAATTAAATTTTAAAATATGTGTTTATTTGTTTGCGTTATATCATGTTTATTTAAAAGGAATTATTATTATTGCCAGCTTGTTTTGCCTTAGATTACTTTTATGTCCGTTGTATTTATAGCAAATACCTTACTTATGTTTGTGTTTTTTAAAGATTTCAAATCGCCTTTAAAAATATATTCGATTACGTGTTCTTCGTATACATATTTTTTAGCACAACATTTAAATAAATAAGTTAAAGTTTGAGTTTTCAGACAAAGTAACTAACACAGTAAGCTAAGTCCCATTTATACCTCTTATTGTGATAGCCAATCTTCAGCAACTCTTTGCTAGTTTTCCCAATTATTTTCGTATTGTACTTTATTTATCAATATCGGAAAATTCTTAGCCAACTTTGGCTACAATATCCAATTGGGAAGCCTTTCGATCGTGGTCCGCCATGAAATCGCTTCCAAGGGCGACAGAGAGGGGCCGGCAGAAAGAGAGCGTCGACTTACTTTCCAGTGCTCGGAGGTGGGCGTTCTCAACGAGCAAAGCAACAACAGCCCCAGAGAGTCTACCCATCTCGCTCGTCACCGGTCCGCTCAGGGGCGTGCAAGCGAGATAGCTGCTGCTCGTGGCTGCCAGTCTGATTGGAACGCTGGCCAATGGGAGAGCGCCTAACTGGCTGGCTCTCTCGCGGCCCGGCAGCCATCCCGTTCGCACCGCTGCTGCTGTCTCTGTCAGACGCAACCGCGCTGCTCGCTGAGCGGCCGAAAAACAGTTTGTTCCGAAACGCGAATAGGTGCGCATCTTCGCATCTTGGCATCTCCGCCGCGTCGCCCAGTTAAACTCGAAAAAGGCCGAAACGGCGAAAGTAGCGAGGAACGAGTTACAGTCACCGGATAAGTCACAGTCGGTTATTGAGTCGCAGTCACTGCCGTCGTCACCGTGGAGATACCGCTGACAGGTTGGAGCGGAACCCGTTTTTACTGGAGCGTTGCCAGCGGATCGGATCTGATCGGATCGGCAGATGCAACCGCCGTAGATAATGAAGTGCGTGCAATAGTTATGATAAACATAAAAACGAAAAAAGGAACCCCGAAAAGACATGCAAACCCATCTGGAAATGCATAAAACCAACTGCAAAATTTGATACAATGTACTGCATAAACAACTCGCTATAACATCCATAATAATGCATCATATAGCAAAAAATCTCTTAAGCTGATTTCAAAAATATTGGACACAGTGTTGAGAAAACTGAAAACTGAATAACACACCCAATCAGTGGGTAAACTCGCAAACCAAACACTTAAGACCCGCTGACACATTCTTTTGAGTGAAGACTGAAGAGCCGCGTACATTTGTAAATCTGTTTGCGGCAAACACTTGAAGCCAATTTCGTTTGCTGGCTGGTTTGTGAGTGTCTTTTTTGAAACATTTTTGAAACCGGCCGCCAACAGAGTCAAACAGACAGAGTCAATAAAAATCGAGTTAAAAACGTATGAAACGGATAACGGGCGAGCAAAATAAAACAGCAAAGTCACACAAAACAAACAAAACATTTTCCGGCTCCGGCGACATTAACAGAACTGCTCGACATCGACAATTTGTTTTATCAATTTTCAACAAGGCCAGCAAGCCAGCAGCAACAACAATAGCGCAACACCCAACAAGCCAGCAAACAACAAAAGCGCCCAGAGTGCTTAGCCGTCGAGCACGCACGCCAAATCCACCCAGCCACCCACTCGAACCTCCCCTAACCACCCAACACCACCCCACATCCTTGGCCACCCCTTTTCGAGGGCTCCGCCAGCATCCGCATCCGCAACCGCATCAACATCCGCATCCGCACAGTCGAAAAACAAGAAAAGAACGAGCAAACAACGAGGGACGCCCCACAGTGAAGCCAGGCACAGTGAACTCGCGTGTCGCCGCTCTTTAGGCCAACTCAGCCAGCGAGACAATGGCTGCATATGCGCAGTTTGGATACGCTGGCTACCCGACGGCAAATCAGGTGGGTTTGAGCCAGGGAAGGTTGAGGGATTACCTGCTTACCCTTTGTTTAAATCTTTATCGATTAGTTAGCAGGTTCATTGATTAATTAGCTAGTTCATTTATACCGTAGTAAATAGCAACTTGAATAGTAACTTGCCTTAAGTTTTGAGCGGTTACTTGGCACAGACTAGACTCTTTTGGAACCCCTTACCAAAGAACCAATATTATATCCACTTTTGGAAACGTTTTGGCTTTGAAAATGTTACGCTCTTACCTTAAATTTTACCTTATCTTAATACCTTAAATTTCAAAGTAAGAAACTGAAAATCACTCCAGAACAAAGCCCGAAGTAATCTCATAATTTGTGTTCAAATTAATGCCCATAAATACCATATTACAAAGCAGTTTGCTTAAAATACGAGTATGAATTGTGAGTAGGATCTGAGGATTTTTAAAAACATTGATTTGAATTTAGTAGAATGAGAAAAACCAGTTGAGTTAATCATTCTAATTAAAGCAAATTTCTGAATTATTGCTACTGGCCGCCTTAAATTTAAACGCACATATTTTATATTGGCCATGAAATTAAATTTATCAATTTTGTCGTATGTATTTATTGTGTTTTGATTTACAGCCGTGCCATTTCAATATGCAGCCATAACTTAATCACTTCAAAAGACACTTGAATATACTATTTATATTTATGTTATAATATAATATTTGGCACACACAAAGGAGCTTTCGTAAATCCAGAAAGCAAGTGAGTCAGTTGAATATTTTGGCATGTGCGATGGGAAATCTTTAATAATGGACGGTGCGAAGTAACTTTAAATTTACATATTAAGCCGGCGGGTTTGGGGAGCAGCGACTGCACATGAATATTCAAGCGCTTTGGCACCGCTTGGCGCTCCTGGATCCCTATACATTATATATATACATATATATATATGTAAGTGGATATGGCCTTAATGGCCGCCCCGCCGCCAAGAAATGTTTCACAATTTAGGACAGCCGTCACCGCCTTGGATGCAAATTGGTGGCATGGGCCAGGGGCTGGGGGCAGTGCATCGTCCGGGGCCTGGTCATAATTACCCGGCATTCGGAGCTCAGTAATTCAAATTAGCTGGCCAGAAGGGGGAGTGAAACACTTGCAGCTACAAAGCCCTTGCAAAGGCTGTGTAATGCCTTGTTCAACGACTACTATGTGGTCAAATGCGTCAATGCTAGACTTGTGCGCTTATCCTGCTGCCAATTTATATACCTATATACACAGTATGTATATGCTTATATATGTGTATTGCTGACCACGTTGGCTGGCATAAATTTATGCTAATGAAGCCGCCGCCGGAGTGGTGGACCATTTATTATAATATGCAAACTTGGTAAATTACAATAATTAAAATAATGAACGCTCAGATTATCGACTATAATTATGGCTGCAGATGTGCAAAAAGCCTTTTGCCTTGCCATCGATTAAGAGCCAGCAGAACTTTGTCATCGTTTTGACTCATTTGCATTCGGTTTTTGCCCCTTAAGCCACTAAAAGTCACTAAGAGCTACTAAGAGCTACTAACAGCTACTAAGCCCAATTAAAGACTGGTCAGTAGATGCTATCTGGGTGCCAAATTTACAAGGCGCACAATTTATGCAGTGCACACAGTCGGGCTCTCATTAATTTAATTTTAATTTCAACGCCAAGACGGCATTCCGAAAAAACGACAATATATGAATTTAATCAACGGCTGACAGTTGGCAGTAGCAAAAGAACTTGCAGGCACATCGCACATCGAATTCTTAACTTCCCAAGCGAGCTGTTCACGCATTTCATGGCAAAATAACTAAAATTCTAAGGCCGCAAAAAGTGCGCGACGATGTCGAGTCCTGTATCCACATAGGCTCCATCCAGAATCCCCATCTCCATCCCCAAACCGAAACCCAGCCCCATCTCCTTCGGGACGCAAAAGGACAAGCCCGTAAATGATGCGAGAAAAAACTAATATTTCGCAGTGTGCATTCCATAATTGATTTATGAATTTTTAATGCAAACATTGAGACCGCAGTTGCGAAAGAGTTGGGAAAGAGTTGTTCCACTGCGACCAAAGTATTCTGCGCCCCAACTTAATTCAATAAGCGAGCTGCACAAAAACAGAGCAACTTATTCGCATTAGCAAAAACGCACTTCGGAGCTGTCCTTTTGGCATTCGATGCACGGGGAGAAAAAGATGGATATGGTAGGGATTTCTTATTTATTTTTAAATATATTTCATTTCCAAAGAATCGCTTTTGGTATTGAGATCGGTTAAATGTGTTGTTTACTACCATAAACCATATATACCTGCCTTGGATTTAAGTTACAACTATTTACTATCAGGCAGTCAACATTCTTGTTTAGCTAGGTTTTTGTTAAAGTTTTGTATGCATTCTACAAGTTTTATATTCATTTGATTTAATCTTAATTCATGCTCTAAAATGTATTCTTAAATGTATCTAGAAAAGTGGCAGAAATGAGGTAGTACCATCGAAGGGTAAAAATCACCTTCAGTTTGGTGGAGCAGTGTGTAAAATGAGTTCTGGTAGAGTTATTTTCTTCCTGTGTACCCTTTAAAGTTGGCATGGGTATCTGTATGAATACGGCGTACTCGTTTGGCAACGCAATCCTGCGGATGAATGTGAGAATATGCCAAATCCAAGAGGACTGACTGCGAATGCGAATGCGAACATGTGTTTGTTTGTAGGGACTCCTTCGCCTTTCCAGCTTCCTTGTCGCCGAGCTGGGATCCTCATATTTTCGCTTATTGTTCTGGCCTGGCGTCAACTGGAGGAACCCCCAACTGAAGGAAAGTCCCCAACTCCCCACCCCAACCCAACCCAATCCAAGCGAACCCAATAGCTTTTGTTTCGCAGCCGTTGTTGCTAGGAGTGCAAAAACCAAATCCATAAACGCATCCCCAGCGGTAGCAGAAACAACAGCAGCACCCAATAACCACAACAATGCCGATCTCCTTTGTCTTGACTATCCAATACCATGTCATGCCATGCCATGCCATGCCATACCATACCATACCATACCATGCCATACCATACCATACCATACCATCCTAACCAAACCATATCGCAGCGCAATATACGTACTCGTGCGTTCGTGAATTGGGAATGGACAGGGGCTGGCAGGAGTTGGTAGGAGCTGGTAGGCGGACTCGTGAGCTTTAACATAAATCATAAAATTAATAACCGTAAAGTGACGGCACCAGCTCCACCAACTTCTTGGCCCCAATGGGTGCGGGTGGCCATCTGTAGCGGTATCGGCAAAGGTATCTGCAGATATTTATCTGCATCTGTGCATCTGGAGCTGCATCTGCATCTGCATCTGGATGCGGATATGGATGTGGATGTGGCTGTGGCTATGGATGTGGGCACTTCAAAGGCAGAGATAGAGATTTACACGATGTCCATGCCGGTTCAACCGAATTACGGTCAATGAATATTTGCCCGCTTTTTTGCTTCTTGTTTAGGTTTTATGCTCTGGTATTTGTTGGTTTTCAGCTCGTTTAGACTTTCGCTGGTCCAGCTGTTTTGCAGATTTCATGTTTGTTTTGCGGCTAAAGATGCAAGGTTGAATTGCCACTTTGAACTTTGGTCATGGCGCATAAAAACCGGGCTCGTATTCCTCGATTCACTGCAGATTGCCTGCCCTTCAGATGGATTCGTACTGGCCATTAGTGGGCAGCACATTCTGGCCATATTGATGGCTAGCTTTCGTAGTTCTTTAATTTGGCTGGAAATTAGTTATCTTACACTAATATAACATAAGACAAGAGGTCTTTTATATTTATTGCTATACACAAATTCAAGTTGGTCTTGAATTCCCCTTTCCGGATAATGCTTGCTGCAATATAAAATACACTATTCTTATGATTGGTGCCATAAAACATTTTACCCTCTTATAAAATCATAAAAGAAAAAAAATTGAGTTAATTAGCGAAAATCATGTGTATCTTTAAAATGATCCCCAACAAAACATTTTATTACAACGTTTACCGCAGCTACTTCAACGTAACTACAAAATTATTACTAATAATAAATTCCTAGAACGGTTTTTATCCACAATATTTATAATAAATGCTTGATAGCTTTATGTTTAAATTGATAGGGAAGCCCCAAGTGATTAAGATAGATGGCAGATAGCCCGCCACAAGTGTGAATATAAAATATTCTTTGTGGCAACTCCAGGAAATATTCCGCATTAAACTTGCCGCAATTTGACACCGACTGCAAAACTGTCCAAAAAGTCATAAAAAGAGCGCACAACTTTAAGGCAGCGTTTAGGAGCTGCCGACAAGTTTCAGCATTTCCGCAGAATAGAAACCCAACCCAACTCCAACCCGAACCAAGCCCATCCCAACCCCAATCCCGAACCCAATCCCAATCCCAAGCTCCAAGTTGGTTCGCCAGAGTGTGGCTTATCCTATCTGCAGTCACCTTGCGATAAACTCAGCGGCTGGGCGCTCTTCGCTGCACTTCCTGCGATTCTTGTAGGTTGTATTTCTGCAGCCGAGTGGTGGGTGAGTGGGAACCATTAAAAATAAACTGACTTGCGTGCCGATAATAAGCACTGTTCCAAGCGAAAACTTGACCAGCCAAGTCCAGCTCCGCGTCCAGCTCGCCAGATCCCAGTCGGCTGTCCTCATCCTCGTCCTCGTCCTCGCCGATATGTGTTTTTTATGGGCGGCCACAAAAACTGAAATTGATGTTCGAACCGCAAACCAGAAACAAAAAAAAGACACACACACAGAAAAAGTAAATAAAACGAGAAGGAATATAAAGTATAATAAGAAATGAGCGCGCCCAGCGTTTTGTACATTAGTGGAGACAGTCGACGATCCACATCCACATCCACTTCCACCTCCATTCATTCAGTATTCATTAGATTTCATTCATGAAACACCTTCATTATGCAACAATTTCCTGCTGCTTTTCGGCATGGCTGCGAAATTGCCCCGATGATTAGATAGTCGGCAGGAGGTGTTGGCGAATCAGCTCGTTTAGCCTTCAATTACCATTATTATTTAAATCACATGGCCTGAATCGTTCAGTAGCTGCGATAGGCGGAGAAATTGGTCAGCACGGTAGCCACTTGATTATGCATATGCAAAGAAAGAGATACTGTTATTGGGCATCGGTGTCAGATGTGGCATACCACGCGTTAAGTGGAATCCCTGACAGGCGGCCTTCTATTCGGGATTTTCCGGCTCAGATCGATCGATTCCCATCAAAAGGATGGGGATCAGATGTCTCCGATTCGCTGCGGCTATCGCTGCAGAGGATGTGGCACATAGGGGGTTACATCGCTGGAGGAGGAGGGCTGGTGGTGCGGCGAGTGAGCGGAGCCTACCTGCCCTGTCCCTCGTCATTTGATTGCCCTTTTGGCCAGGCCGTGCCCATTCTCGGTCGATCGATCGGTCCACTGATACTCAGCTCCGGACTCTCGAGAGCTGAACAGAACCCTCTTCAAAAGAGCCCCGATTCGGGATTCTGGATTCTCGATTCTCGGTGCCCAATGTGCGATGTGCTCGGCTTCGGACGAAGCGGTATCTGGAATCTGACTGTGATAAATTGAAAATTAATGAAGTGAAAATAGATGGAACGGATCGCAAAATGCGCCAGGCCAATAAAATATTTTGACATTTGGAGTTATCATCTTAATCTGCTTTCTTGATTTCGACCTGGTCGGCAGGGACATGCCTTTGCGCTTGCCGCTCCCTGCCCCTCTCCCTCGTCTCCTCGGTTGCCTGCTCTTTGGTCTTGCGGGTCCTGCCAACTTCACCTGTTCGTGCACTGCGAGAAAAAAGGATCTACTCAATCAGCACCAGTCTAAATAGGCAGTTGGAATGGTAACACATTTCTAGGGGTAAAAATAATTAATATAATATAAATATATAATTCATTTAAAATGTGTTTGTATTGTTTGTAATTTCAAACCCCTTGTTAATAGTTAATAGTTACTTTTGCTCAGTGTAGGATTCCCCCGCTGCAGACATTTTTCGGGCTCGAGTTCCTTTTTTCGGCATCGCTAAAATGTGCTCCTTTTCCCCTTCGGCATCTTTGCAGCTGACTACCGCCAATACCGACAGCCAGAGCGGCCATGGCGGAGGATCGCCGCTGTCCGGCACGAACGAGGCTTCCCTGAGTCCCTCGGGCGGCTCGACGGCCACCGGCCTGACCGCCGGCCCATTGAGTCCAGGTGCAGTTTCCCAGTCGTCGCATCATGCGGGCCACAAAGGGCTCTCCACATCGCCGGCGGAGGATGTGGTAGGTGGCGGTGGCGGTGGCGATGTGCCCGGTGGCCTTTCATCTGCCGCCCAGGACTTGCCCAGCCGGGGATCCTGTTGCGAGAACGGCAGACCCATCATCACGGATCCCGTGTCCGGCCAAACCGTGTGCTCCTGCCAGTACGATCCGGCCCGACTGGCCATCGGTGGCTACTCCCGCATGGCGCTGCCCTCCGGCGGCGTGGGCGTGGGCGTCTACGGCGGACCGTATCCCTCCAACGAGCAGAACCCGTACCCCAGCATCGGAGTGGACAACTCGGCCTTCTACGCACCACTGGTAAGGATCGGGTGTGGGCATGGCTATGGGAATCGCTGAGTAGCTGGAAAGCCTGGCTAATTGGCTTTGTGCATTGGGCGGAAGTCCGCGCAAATGCGAGTCGACAGCCCGAGCAGATATCGCCATGTTGGCCGTCAGCTCGTTAGGCCCGGTAACTTGTAACTGCCGCGATTACCTGATTACCTGGGGGCTGACATACTCACTGGCTACCAAAGAGTCCAGCTTACACGAGGCTCACTGCCTCCGGCTGCCAGCAGCTCTGACTAATCGCTGATGGCCCATTGCCGCACTCAATTCCAGAGCAATCCCTACGGCATCAAGGACACCAGTCCCAGCACCGAGATGAGCGCCTGGACATCCGCCAGCCTGCAGTCCACCACCGGATACTATTCCTACGATCCCACGCTGGCGGCCTACGGGTGAGCATTTAACAACTAAGGCGATTGGCTTAGAAACAAACTCGCAGTCGAACTTGTCTAGTCGAAGACTTTAACTACTTAATGTAGTTAATAGTTTAGGATAGGATAGGATTAATGATAGTTTATTGATAGATAGGAAATTAAGAAGAACTGGAACTATACGATTATTTTGCACAGAGACACTTGGTTAGTACAACATAAGCTCGTGAAATTCAAATTAAACATCATACTATCGTTAAATTAAATAGTAACATTTGTGGCTCATAGAGTTAAAGACACGAAGGAAGAAACAAGGGAGCTGTAGTTCGCGAAGCTCCACTGTACAAATATACAAATGGGAATCTTAAGTGGGCTTAAAATGTTGCCATGGGACAAAAACTTTCGCGTCGTGTCGTCTGCCGGGTTTCTTTTTATTTATCGCTTAAAAGGGTATGTCTGGCTTAGAGTTTGAGCCCCGGGCGCGGTTTTGGCTGAAATAGGAATACCAATTCCATTGCCATTTCATGTTGACCTAGACGAGAGGAAGTTGCAAATGCATTGCGGCGCTGGGATAGGGCTTGTTGTCGACTCTTATCAGCGATTGTTACCAATAACTGATTAGTGTCTTCGAGGTGTGTGTCCTTTGTTTACCAAAGAGCTGATAGCAGGCCGGAAAATCGCTGTTGCCCCAAGCAAACTCATTAGTGGCCATGATAGGGCGGAACCACAACTCAGCAATGAGCCATATTGATTCGGGGTGTATACGAGTATATGATTTCCAACCTGCAGATACGGACCCAACTATGATCTCGCCGCCAGACGGAAGAACGCCACGCGGGAGTCCACGGCCACGTTGAAGGCCTGGCTGAGTGAGCACAAGAAGAATCCGTATCCCACGAAGGGTGAGAAGATCATGCTGGCCATCATCACCAAGATGACCCTCACCCAGGTGTCCACGTGGTTTGCCAATGCTCGTCGCCGGCTGAAAAAGGAGAACAAGATGACGTGGGAGCCCAAGAATAAGACGGAGGACGATGATGACGGCATGATGTCCGATGATGAGAAGGAAAAGGATGCCGGAGATGGTGGCAAACTCTCCACAGAAGCCTTCGGTGAGTCCAACTGCCTGCCCATTCCTGACCTCCTCAATTAGTGGTGCTCAACGAGCTCTTTGTAATTTCTTGAGCCCCGGCATATTGTTTTCCAAACGCCTTGCCCCATTGATTCTTGCGCCTTTCTTGGCCTGGCTGGCTGGATGGCTGGCTGGCTGGCTGACCCGCCCCCTTAGCAGATTTGTGGCACTGGGCTTTTAAGCACAATTTATGTGGCGAGGCGAATGTTATGCAACATTCGTCTGCCCGTCCGCCGCTCCGAAGTCCGTCCGCAGTCCGTCGTCCGTTTATTTGTCTGACTGCTTAGGCGACATCCTCCCCGGAAGTTGACAGCACATTGTTGGCAAAGTGGCCTTGCGCCCGCACTCCGTTCCTAGGATGCACTGCGCGAAAATATGTCGCAGTGACCAGCTATAATTCTACAAATGCTACGCTTCTGTTACTATAATATACTATATAGTATGCATTCCATACAAAATTAAGATAGGCTTTGCTATCAAAACTTAAGATCTCTCTGTTAAAAAAGGCCCTATAGCCATTTTCTCCGTGTACTCCGTCTCCAAAGTGGCCTTGTTCGAGTTGGCGACACATAGAAATGGTGCAACGCAGCAGGGGGATGGGTTGCCAGGGGGGGGGACTTGGGCGGTAGCCGGCGGAAACTCGAGTCTTTTGCTGCTGAAAGCTTTCTCCGCTGGCTGCGAGGGTTGCACGCATCAACGCCCACCAACAATTTCAAGGGTTTTTGCCACTGCCAGCTGCCAGCTGCCAAGAGTTCCACCTCCTGGAAGTGCCAAGTTTTGCAGTCCTCTAAGAACTTGTCTGCTTCCTGCCTGTGACTTGAAATTAATTAAATTTATTTTGTGTCTCCACATGGTCTCCCCCCCAACCCCTCTCTCTCCCTCGCTCTAATCTTTTAGATCCCGGCAATCAACTTATCAAATCCGAACTGGGCAAGGCGGAGAAGGAGGTGGACAGTAGTGGTGACCAGAAGCTGGATCTGGACCGGGAGCCACACAATCTGGTGGCCATGCGTGGACTGGCGCCCTATGCCACGCCTCCCGGCGCCCATCCCATGCACGCGGCCTACAGTTCGTATGCGCAATCCCACAACACGCATACGCACCCCCATCCCCAGCAAATGCAGCACCACCAACAGCAGCAGCAGCAGCAGCAGCAGCCGCAGCAGCAGCAGCAGAATCAGCAGCAGCTGCAGCACCACCAGATGGATCAGCCGTACTACCATCCGGGTGGCTATGGCCAGGAGGACTCGGTTGACTTCGCGGCCCAAAAAAACCCGCTGAGCAGAGACTGTGGCATCCCAGTTCCGGCGAGCAAGCCCAAGATCTGGAGCGTGGCCGACACAGCCGCCTGCAAGACACCACCGCCCACCGCGGCGTACCTCGGCCAGAACTTCTACCCGCCCTCGTCGGCGGAGCAGCAGTTGCCCCATCAGTCGCTCCAGCATCAGCATCAGCAGCAGCAGCTGCAGCAGCTGCAGCAGCACCACCACCCGCACCACCACCACCATCCGCACCACTCGATGGAGCTCGGTTCGCCGCTGAGTATGATGAGCAGCTACGCCGGCGGATCGCCATATTCGCGGATACCTACGGCGTACACCGAGGCCATGGGCATGCATCTGCCCAGCAGCAGCAGCTCCAGTTCCTCCACCGGCAAGCTGCCACCCACTCACATCCATCCAGCGCCCCAGCGGGTGGGGTTTCCCGAGATCCAGCCCGATACTCCGCCCCAGACACCACCCACTATGAAGCTGAACAGCAGCGGCGGCAGCGGCAGCGGCAGCAGCAGCAGCAGCGGGAGCAGCCACAGTTCATCGATGCACTCCGTCACTCCGGTGACGGTGGCTTCCATGGTCAACATTTTGTACAGTAATGCGGACAGTGGATACGCACATGGGCACGGACATGGGCACGGGCACGGGCACGGGCTCGGGCATGGGCACATGGGCGTCACTGCTAATGCCTATCTGACGGAGGGTGGGCGTTCCGGGTCGTAACTCGACCTTGAACCGGTTAGTGGAGAGCAGTTACCAGTTACCAGTTACCAGTTACCAGATACCAAATAGCAAGCGAAACTACTTACACACATTTCGAGATGGCGGGACAAGTGCAAGTTGGCGGGCAATCCGCGATTACGATTACGAGTACGTTTAACAGATAGCGATAACTACACTAATTATTTTGCAATAAATGTAGCTTAAGTGTGGCAATAAAACTTTATTTCCTACCATATCATAAATTATTTCGCTTTATAACTTTAATTAGCATATTTACACTCAAGCGCTGAAAATTTGCGAGACGAACATGTCTCAGTGGTGCGGTGGTGCTGGTGGTGGTGGTGCTGGTGGTGGGGCGCCGCCTGCCCAGACTTCTGAACCGCCCACTTTGGGTGCTTGTCATGCGTTTTTGGGACCCGGGGGCTGAGTCATACGGCTCCAAGTTTAATGACTCGAAATAAACGCACACCGCACGAACTCATTCATCTTTCGAGTGGAGAACGTTGAGTCTCTGGCATGCCAATAAAATAATGCCACCGTGTTATAAATCAAGCGAACTTTTTGTCTTAAGACCAACATTTCCTACCTTAAGTGCTTAATCCACGCAACTAAATAATTTTAAATAGCTACCGCGTAAGATCTTGAGGAAACTTCACGTTGTATTAGTGCTAATATGCCCAACTAGGAAGGAAGGAGCGGAGCATTAGTTTTAAGATTTGCCTAACCCTTCGACTTTCAATAACGTATACTCGGCCAAATAATTAATCCGTGCACACACTTTAATTAATAGTTACCTAAACGTAATCGTGTAATTAGCTACCCCCTTCGTTTGATGAATTCGTAGAGAATTTTTAAGTATCTGTGATATATGCATATAAACACATACTATACGAGCAATTATCTGCGCTACTTTAGTTAATTCACACCTACTTCTTCGTACACAAATGCACTTGCGTTCTGCAAACTGGTTCGAGACATTTCTAATGGCATTCATTTTGTCTTTGTAAATAGTATTTATGTAAATTTTCAAATTTAACGATAAATAAAGTTGAGTAAATCATTTATTTGACTGCCTCTTATTCGAACTAGAGTCTACAGTTCTGGTTATGCGGGAGATTAAAGTGATTATTTTGATTGAACCTATGTTGGGTAAACAACTTATTTCTTATTTATTATTTGGATATTTCTGGTTTTGTTGCAAACAAAATTGTAGGATTTATTACTATATTATAATATAGTTTGAAGTTTTGTCTTCGTGAGGAATAAAGCTTTAAAGACCACCAACAATTGTACAAAAAAAGTGACTAGTTGAAATATGGCACTACATTTTATATAAAAAGTTTATATTCTCGATATAGTGCTTAAGAAATATTTATAAGGAACCCCCATATGTTTACAAAGCTCTCAAACAAATAAAAGTGTGAGCTGCGACCCAATGAACCTAATTAATCGCAGCGAACGAGGGAGCGGTCGCATTTTTCGAAGAAATATGTAGATACAGATACTCGCATGCATTCAATCACGGGCCTCATGAGTCTGTGTCGTGTGTCACATCTATAAATGAAAATAATAAATCGTCGGTGTCGCATTATAATTATCGACCTACCCATAACAGCTCAGCACTGGAATTCCACGGGCTCGGACAATGCCAAACACTGTAATTCAGATTGACAGTTGATCCCTTTATAATGATCGCCATACTTGGATTTGTGTATTGGAGACAAAAGTTGGGCCGGCCACGAGCTACCTGTGCGTAACCAACTGGGAAGCAACAGCTCTATTTTATCAGATTGATTTTCTCCACGAGGGACACGTCTCTAATTAGAGCAACTCACTCCACGTGTTTCGCGGAACTCAGGTGATCTTACGTAAGAGTTTAATGTGCCGTGTTAAAATATGGACTCTGTGAATGACTCACAAACTACAGCGGTTCGGATTTGAGTTCAAAGGGTTTTTAGAACCAAAGATGCACGCTTTTAAATATATAATTTATAAAGTGTTTAGTTGGTTTGCGCTATTTGCCCGTCATTAAACAGAAAATTGCCTCCTCCTTTTGGTTTCTTTTTATTATTGAAGCATCATTACTTTTATAACTTTCAACAAATCTTTAAATGCCTCATAAAATTTAGATTTAGATTAAGTAAGGATTTAAATAAAGTCCTAAAACCAAGGCGTCTTTGCTTTTCAATGACTATTTAAATCTAAAGTATCACTATAAATCTTTCTGCCTTCCTAATAATAACAACTTTATTCATTATCTAGAACATATTGCGTTATATTTTGTATATTATATTTTTTACATTATATTCATACCAATAGCCTTGCATATTTGCATTCTACCATGCACTTTAATACCTGCAACTTGGTGAAATGCAATCCGCAGGCTCGGCAAAACTCATTAAAGCTCGAATGGGTGCCCGTGGTCCTCTGAAGACAATTAGATAAATTTTGGAATTTTCAAATTAGCCGCTTCAAATCGTGGCAGCATCTGCAGTCAATGGCACTTTTTCGCAAATGCATGGGATGATGCAACTGCAACTGCCAACTGCCGCACACAAGGCAGCAAAGTCCAGATCGTAATGAGTCCAGTTGGCTTTTGTGGAGGCTGGCTTTGGCCATTTTATCCGCCGAGTGGAAAATGACAACATTAATTTAGCGCTTTGTTCTGTGCCAGTCGGGCCGGGCCACATTTTAAATTAACCCAAAACATGTTTAGGGGTTTTCCGCACAATTGCCTCCTCGGTGCAATGTGGCAAAAAGGATTTCGGTGCGCCTGCACAAAGGATTGCAGCATCTGATGCCCGTTTTCCATTTCGGGGTGGCTGTAATTGAAAAGGCGGGCACAATGAAGCGCTTTTGGCACATGCAAAGCACGGTAAATATCGCCATAATTGTGCATAACTTAAAATAACAAACTTGATTTCATTTCGCACTCTAGTAAGACTGAAACTGCAGCTTGCTATGCTGACTAACTAACAAACTAACATGCAACAATAATTAATATAATGGAGAATATGTTTTCACCATTTTAATTGTTTTTTAATATGTGTTTGTTTGACTGCACAGTTCTCAAGGTGCATTTATAAACATTCGTGGATAGTAACTCATTTCCTTCACAAAACCCTTAGGCCAATAATATTTCACATTCCTGTGGTTTCATTTCCGCAGACAAAACAATTCCATCATATTGTTAAGGCAATAAATTCAAAACAAACATATTTCAGTCCGATTTTGTTCGGATAATTGGTTTACGCGCAGCAAACGCGATTAATTTTAAATTGGAAATAATAAAATATGGCCTGCATTCGGTGGGTCTATTGATATATGATAACGGCGCGTGTTCGGGCCTTTTTGTTAAACAAAGAAACTTGTCGCGTTTCCATTTGACAAGACCACATTTGTGTTGTGGGCGTGTGCAGCGAATCCGGGGCTGAAACATGAACAGGTCTATTGGGGCTTGAGGACGCACACGTAGAACGTTGAACGTGGAACGTGGAACATTATTCGGCTACAAAATGGCCAAAACAACAAACCGCTATAATTTACCATATTTTATGGCTGCGCCGTGGCAATAAAATCGCCAACAAGACCAATAACTCATTCTAGAGCGCTGGCGCTGCAGTTGGTAGTTGGCTAGTTGGTAGTTGGATGTTGGATGTTGAATGTTGGAAGTTGCCCCCGCCGCCGGTTACACGGGACGCCTCTGCTCTTCCTGCTGACCCCCAGCTACCCCTCGCTCCCCACTTGCCACCACTGAAACTTCCGCGGTTGCACAACCCACAAAATGCAACATACTCGTGCACACTGCACTCCACTTGCACGCGGTTGGCTTTTAAACGGCTCAATGCGCCCGCTGATGGAACTACCACGCTCGGATATATGGCCCAAATGGCCGAGCTTTGGGCCAGCAGCTCTAATTTGTAGCTCCCTGCTATTTTCAAATTTATCTATGCCGAAACGTGCATTGATGGCCTGCATGTTTATTGCCCGCCTGTCGTCGTTTTGCATGCGCACTTTTTCCCCGGGACACAATCCAGTAATAAAAATAATAAAACATAAGCAAAAACTGGGAAATTGGCGAACAAAACTGGACAATTGGCAATGAGCCCCGCTGCCGTGGGCAACTACATTTAATTAATATATACTCCAATTGCCCTGCTCCACCGCAAGGACACCACCTGCCTCCATGGCTTCTATGTTATTTGGCCCGCTCGTGTAAAAATAAAATGAAAATGTTTGTGGCTTTTGCCCAAAGGACGCGTGGCGTCATTTTTCCACTTTTCAATAAAAGCGCACGGCGAGAAAATCGGGAAATTATTCAATATCGAAATAACTTGTAATTGGTGTGGGGTAAAAGAAGCTATTGGAATAAATATTTAAAGATATGCGATAGTTACGTTTTGATTGAAATTAATTTTTAATTGACCTATGCTATTTTTTCAGAGTATTTAACGATTGCTGTAAAATTTATTAAAAGCAAATGTATTATTTTACAGTTTAAATAAAAAAACATGCGTTTAATATAACAGATATTTTGTGAAAATATAATAAATTCGGATATCCTTAAGATTTCCTTACAATGAATATCTAAAAATGCTAAGCTGATCATGAATAAATATGAATTCAATTCAACTTTGGGTGGTAATAAAATACACCGAGTAATTATACGCACTATTAAGAGATTGAAATGTAAAATATTTATTTTATTACTTTTTAGCCACTTGAAAAGAGTTTTTGGAATGCACTCAGCGATATTTACCCTGTGCAGCGAAAATGTGGAATGGCGAATAAAAATGCGCGCTGATCGAACGCGACTGTCGTTTTTTCTCTAGGCAGCAGATGCGATGCTTATGCAGATACAGATGCAGATGCTGCCGCTGCCGCTGCCGCTGCCGCTGCGGTTGCTGTTATTTTCCCGATGACCGCAAACAGTCTAGACCAAAAAGTGTACAATGTCCTGCGTGGAAGGACCGCGGATAGGAAAGGAAGTGCTGGTCAGAGCCGTGCGTGCCGCATCTTTAAATTTAGCACTCTCGAGCGATATTCGAGTAATGAAGGATCGATCCGGTGGCTCCGCAATGTACGAATACGTGTGCGAATACGAATGCGAATGCGAATAATTTAAATATTTAATTAACACATTCCGGCGGCCGAACGACGCCATCCTCGCGCGTGTGTGTGCAATTAATGCAGGAATAGGCGCAATTAAGTTTGTCGCCGCACCGCCGCGAGCAGGGATTGCTGGTGGCGATGGGGCTTATCTGGTGATTCCGATCGAGCTTCAATCCCAGGGACTTCACCTGGTGCGGACTTCACCCGGCTGCACCATACGCAACTTGCTTTTAAAGATCCACCCAGCCCGGGACTGGGAGAAGCAAGGAGCCAGAGGCGGCGGCGGCGGCAGTCCAAAGATTTATCTGCATCCGGTGTCCAGTTACCGGGCCCATTCCATTCCACACGGACACTCGGTTTGAATGATGCGCATCTTGGGCATTTTGGAAGTAAATTTGTGTGCAAATGGGCTTTTTATTTGGCTCATGTTTCTCGGCCAGCGATGGCTGTGCTGTCTCCAGTTGGCAGAATATACCACCATTATGTGGCAGCAGCGCAAGTATCTCGTGGATACCTGCGCCACAGATCACATTTAAAGCTCGAACTCGCCGACATGAGCGGTTGCGGAAATTCGCCATCGTTGAGATCATGGAGCTGTAGCTGATGATAGGCGAGTCATAGGTTTTTGCTTGTACCATGTCCATAAATATGCTGATAGCACTCGCATCCGAACAGATGCTGCCCAGCATCCATGAGATACAATTTATTTGCGCCATTGTGGCCGCGCGCCTCATAAAATGCTAAACAAATACGGCTCGCTTGTGAAGCGGTTTTTATATATGCGAACTTAAGCTATTAGTTTTTAAAGCTTCTTGCGGCTTAAATGCCAGCTCACATAATTATTACAATCGGAATGCACTTTGTTAAATCAGTAGCTTATTGCCATACAGACGTGGCTACCGTATTAAAGTAATTTTAATGCGCTGTAAAATAAATCATTTTACAGCATCGAGCTTGGAAAACTCAAACGAAGATTGTTTGCTTACCTTAGATAGCGCTTAACTATCTCTTCTGTATTTGAAGCAATCGCTGTTGCACCTTGTTAAAATCCCGTAATGCCCACCAAAGTGTGTGCAATATTTTGGGCTTACTCGAATCACCTGAAAGGATTTCGCTGGCGTTGCCCCCAAAAACTGAGGCGACCGAGACCGAACTAGTGCCGATAGACGGGTTACAAAAAGGACGGCACGCAGAAAGGACAACGGATGAAAGTCGAAATCCGGGGACGGGAAAAGTCATTTGCTTGCTCGTCCGACAAGATGTTTGTTCGTTCGGCAAAATAAAGTACACACTGTCTGGTCGGCTGGGCGTCGAAAAAAGGGGCTGCGGTGCGGGGGCGGGGGCGGGGGCGGGGCTCCAAGGGGGCTGCTGAGCCACCAGGGACATTTGGGATAACATGCGAACACGGCATATTTGCTGGGATACAAAACGCCAAACGCTGTCTTCCAACCACTCAGCCACTAGGTAATGAATGGATGCGCATGCATGACATGGATGCAATTTTCGACAAAGAGCCGGCTAGGCCCCTTTCTGGGCTCCCCTGATTATCTCGTGTTCTGCGCAGCCATATCCCAGGCTCCATGCCGCATGCCCCATCGCTCCACCCCCCGCCCCACCCCCTAGCTAATGCACATGTGTGCGGGGGTGCGGGGTGCGAGTGCACCGAGGAAATCAAATCAAGTGTATTTAAACCAAGAGCTGGGAAAGTTAGCTACTAGAAGCCTTTAAAGCGGGGGTAAATAGATGGATTTGAACTAGAGCCACAAATTAAACTTCTTGAAGAACATAACTCGAATTACTAAGATTTATTTAGGATCATAATATACCTCATAATTATAATTTACTTCGGATAATTAGCTCAGCTGAAATGTGTTGGCTAACTCACTCGTTCTAAAAATAATATATCATATTATTAATAGTTATTACCCATTTTTTTAGAGTGCACCGAAATCCACCGAGAGCTGTCTAATTTTCGGATCGCTTGTGGCCTTTTTGCAGTCCTTCAACGGCAAGTGCTCTGCCTTTGATCGGAAGCGAGTTAATTGGCTATTTTGAGCGGCTGCATGGCATATCTGAGTTGGATCACAGGTATGATAAGGAAGCACACGGAGTCGCCACCCACCAACCACCCACGCCCATCGCCCACCGCCCTGCTTTTCCGACCATGTGTACTAATTAAAAGCTGCAAATTCGTAACCTAAAAATACCAAGGCTGCCGTAGCATTTTGGCCATATATCTCGCGTAGCCCAAAGAGGCGGAGCGTTTTCCACGTTCCATGTTCCAGTTGCAACCACCGCCCACCGCCCACCGCCCACCTCCCACCGCCCACCTGGAAAGAGCAGTGCCGCCCGCGAACATGCCACCGTCTCACTTGCACCGCAGCAGAAAAACCCGTTTTCCACGGCACATGCGCAACTGCTGAACCCCCGCTCTCGCCGGCGCTCTCTGTCGCGCGCGCTCTCTTCTGCAACCCGGTGCGGCGCTTTTGGCCAAAAGCGAACATGCAACACACAACTAGTATGCGCTCGAACTCGGTAATGCGCACATCATGGGCGAGAGTGGGCGCGCAAGGCCGCACCAGCTGGGCGGTGGGTGGTGGGTGGGGATGGTGCTGGAGAGGGTGGAAAGCGGAGCTGGGTGCGATGGCGGCGAGTATCCGAAAGTTGTGAATAACCCAAAAGTGCGTGCCCCTGATTGGGCCACATCCAGCAGATCAACAATTCCACGCGGCGTAAACAAAACACACCAAGTGCCAAAGTTTACTGTCACGTGCTTGTCAACAGCGTCTTGGCGTTTTATAACGCCCTGACCCCGGACACGACGAAGCTTTACAAGTGACCCCGCTTCTTGGTGGACTTTGCACCCGGCCAACGGCAACTAACTGAACTGAACTCGGGTCCCACGGCGCCTACATGTGAGTATTGTTTACTGCAATCGCGTGATGTTGTATAAGAAAGTTAAACAATCCAGGTGGTAAAGTGGATTTTAGGGATTTTGTTTACGCAGTAAATCTAAATGTATTTATAACACAATATTGGGCTACAAAAATATTATGAGTAGGCTTGTGAGTCAGCGAACTTTTGGGAAATTCAAACTTAACTTGTTATTTTTATTAGTGTAAATACCTTGCAATTTTGGAACTTTAGTATCGACTGTGGCATTTAATTGTATCTTGCAAGTGACTAATCAAAATCAGATATGATTTAAGTCAGCGAGGCCGATAATTCACATAAAACGCTACCAGAAAATGTGAGTACTGGCTTGGCTATTATTATCATCAATTTATTGGCAAAACTATCATTTCACACAATTATTTCTTTTAAAAATTTGTCCTAATAAAAAATGTGCCAATAAAAACGCAGCAAAGCATGGTTTATGTACATACGTTCATTGTTATTAGCCCGAATTTGATATATTTATTCAACCAAGGCTTACGTGAATGGAAAATATTAAGTTTTTTATGCAAACGATTTGAAGAAAACTTCGTTAAGCCAAAAGTCTGGAATCCCTTCAATCAAAGGTGCTGGACCATGTTTTCATTACCAATTTTCATTTTGGCCCGGCTCGCAAAGAAGTGGCTTGCAGTGTGCAATGCGTTTAAAAAATGCCCGGGGCAGCGCGAAAGAGTTTTCTCCTGGGCTCGTTATTTATTTTTTTTATTCGTATGATGAAAAGCCACGCAACTATGTACGTCGCGTGTCTGGGACCATAAACAGAAATTGTTTCGCAAAACGCCTCCGTCGCTTTTGCGGCCACCACATCGCATCGACATTGCAAAATAAACCCGCAAAGCGAGAGAAACGCAAAATTATCATGGGCTGAATAATCGTATTCATAAATATGCTTTTCCATTTTCCCCATCTAAAACCGCGTGTGTGTGTGTGTGTGTATTTAGTACACCCTTTGGCCTAGGCAGCTATTCATCAGCGCATCATGTTTAAGCCTTCGTGGCGTCGATGATACAACCGATAAGAGGCCAATTTCGCAATTGCGGCGCTGGAATTTTTAATTAGTTGAAGAAAGCAGCGGCAGCCGCAGCCGGCCGTTTTGGCCAGGCTAGCAGCACACTCTTGCCATGGCCAGAAGGCAGAGAACCAGTCGAGAGCCGAGTAAAATATCCTCTGAGGCGCACACGAAACGCAGGCCGCATTTGCATACCACTTCTGCTTCACTTTGAAGACTGAAGAATCGGCCATCGTAAAGTGTATTAAAGTGAAGTATGTGTTAAGTGCACATGTCACAGGTCAAACGTGCTAGTGTTATGATTTATCGGTTTTTGCATTTTCGAGGTTTTCAAATTTATGCAGGTTTAGAACGAGGATATCAGCTAATTATAAGAAAATAGCAAGGAGTGCATATAATTCATTAGAAGTATGTTTAAAGCAAGTTAACATATGTTTGATTATAGTTCTATTATAATTTGCTCAAATTATAATATATATTATATATTCTGATAAATCTGAAGCGTAACAGTATAACTAAATATAATGAATTCGAATAACTTGTGTATACATTTTATTTATCAAACCGTCCAAGTATAATTGCAAAAATTCATAAAAAGCACCTATTACTTTAGGCTCATTAAATTTAATTGGCATAACTAGATTGAAGAATTCTTCATGAATCTCCGTATTTGCATTATTTTCGACTTAAGCAATATAATTAAAGCCAAAAGGCGAACATGCAACTTCTATATTTAAATCGCCTCACTCAATTCCGCTTAAACCATGCATACTCACTAGTGCAACCAACTTAATTAACAGTTTTGTTTGGTCTTTGTGTCCAAAAGTATTTTGTTTCCGATCGCGGAAAGTATGAGTGCGAATTGTTCGTGCTCATACACTCGTAACTAACCGACTGGCTAGACTTTTTGTGTGCGGTTAGGAAAAATTGGCGGTCGCCAGCGAAGTATGGAATAATTAAAAACAATTCAATTCGCAATTTGCACCATAATAAAATGAATTACATATTCATTTATGCAGAATATAACCGCTAAACTGCAACTGCAACACAGTAGAAATGAGACGGCCACTTGGCCACATCCACATGCAACCGGATTGCACTTGGGTGCAGTGGAGCAAGAAGTGGACCTACACGAAGGGTCGTTGCCTGGCGTTCGTCTGTGGGAATCGCATATACCTTACCCTAGCACTCGATTGATTGCTCCAGAAATGGGGAATGCATTTTGGGCTTCGACAGTGCCGGCAAAATATAGCAAGTAATTCCTAAACACTCGCTTGCCAGAATTCTTGGGTTTTGGGTCAATTTCTGCATTTCGGCGCAAACTTGAATATTCATAGCGCCGTCTAGGAACGATCTACTTGGTTCGCATGCAACAATGTATTTCTCGCGTTCGACTAAAATAGAATTTGTTTCATTTGATGGTAGACTGAACTCAACGCCTCTGCCTACCATCCACCCATACACCCATTCACCCATATGAGTGCGGTATGAATACTTATGTGAATACTTGATTTCGAGGCAGAGCAGCGCTGCACGCACATTTCTTCGCGAAGCCTTGTTAAGTGTGTAAATTATTGCGAAATATTGCAAATTTTATTCTAAACAAACATATTTTATTAATGCTTTCAGCCCATTCTCACCATAAAAAGTGGAATTGGATTCGAATGAGCGGCAATGCAAAATCAGGGGGTGTGCCTATTGTTATAATTACATCTGTGATTAATATGTTGTGCTCTTAATTTGAAACTAGGAACCGCCTTCACTACTTTGCGGTGAATTGTAAACTTAACCAGTAGTTATGCAAAGGATTTGTTTGTTTATAACAATAAAGTAATAAGTAATGTGCTCATAGTTCAATCAAACCATTTTCACTACTCATAAATCTAGAATTGCTGAGTTGCCAGCTGAGACTGGGCAGTAAAACCGTCCAGCTATGAAAAGAGCAACTATCAGCCGGGGGAACAGGTTTGGTTTATGGCTTTTAGGGGTCGCATTTAGCGGGAGCCACTGTACAGTGAGTGTTTAGTGTTCGTGCTGGCGATTAAGCTGTTCATTCGCTTGGCACGCTTTGTTTGGCAACCCCTTTGGCCGTCATTAAAAAATACCAGCCTCCAATTGCAGGAAGTCGTGGAATTGTTCCTACTCAAATTCTTATATAATGTCTTGATTATCATCCCTAGACGCAGGCACTCATAGGGGTGGTAATTCATAACTAGAAATTAAATTTACCTTAAAATATAATTTACTTGCAATATTTCTTATACAAGTATTATTTGCAGGGGAAGGCAAGTAAATGAATAATGACTGAAAATTACTTGACAATTACATTTTTATAAGAAATATTAGTATATAAATAGTATATATAATGTAGTATATTATAATATTGGAGTGAAATGGCATGACATTGAATGGCCAACTGGCTACTAAATTTTCATTACCGGAAAGTGATTGTTGAAATTCCTTAAATTTCCTGCTTTAAAATGTCGATTATTTGCGGACTTTCCGTTTAACACCCCGATGGCTGATGTCTGATTCTGGTGTCCATGGAGCAGGTGGACTGGGTGAAGTGGGGACTTGGGATGTGGATCCGCAAAGGTCTGGTGCTTGCGGATGAGGAACGGTGAATTTATAAAAAAAAGTGAGTGCTTTCATTGATGTTGGTTTATCGGAGGTGGCATTCCCCGGCTTTTTACATTGTAGCCTGCCCATGAAGTCCAACCTTTTATTTAAATGTTAACAATAAAAATGAATTTGCATTTATTGATTTTCGGGCAGCAGTGTTGAGCTGTGGAGGTGACACCTTAAAAAACAGGTCATATCCCTATCCGCGTTGCGAATCAGTTACTGGTTTTTTTTGCCTGCGCATAGAGCGAAGTAGATTGCATTTTTTGCGAATAGACCAGCTTTAATAAGCCAGTTAGATACGCCATTATGGTCTTCAAGTTGGCCAACATGAAAGGGGGCACATACGTAGCAAAATGGGAGAGCAGGAGCCGTATATCCTGCAGTAGCCGTTTGTTAAGCCTTTGTCTAGCAGCCATTTTAAGTGCCATAAAAAACTCGAAAAGTTGTAGGAACAATGTAGACAGCGTGTTTTCATTTTATGCGAATTAAGCTGCCACTTGAACAACTTTCCTTCCACCAGCGACTCCACTGGACCGCCGAGACCGACAACGACAACGACAACAACACTGCCAAACGACAACGCCAAACGAGAACGACAACGACAACGGCAACGAGAACGAGAACGAGAACGACGACGTCACTGACAACGGGAACAGTGGAAGTCCAAGAACAACACACAGGAGGCGCATCCACATGAGTGTTAGTCACACATGATTGTTCATATGTGGAGGGTGTAACTCATATGGAAGCAATGCGGATTTTTAACGAATCAGGCACATTGGTTTCTTAGCATTACTATTAATATACATCAATTCAGTTGGATGATTTCTTAAAACAAAGTACATACCCTTTCTATAAGTTAGCCTGACAATTCCGCAGAAGCTTCCATAAAATAATACAGAATTCCAGAACAATCCATAAGTTTTAAAAAATTTTAAGCATTTGAGAACAAAGAGTTAAACCTACATGTTTCTGTTGCATTTAAATCTTAGTCTTGTGCAATTTTTAGTATGGTGTCATCAAAGAAATTTCAAATTTCTAAACAAAAAGAACATATTTATTATACGAATTTATATGATATCATGCTGCACTTTCATCCCTGAGTGCTCATAAATTTTCCACCCTCACGATCTCGCCGAATTTCGCTAAAATCGGAAAAACTTTGCAGCATACTTTTAGGACGCTGCCAGGACACGGCCTGCCGGCATTTCCTACAGGGCACGAAGGACATCCCCAACCTCGTGCACACCCGCATCCGCATCCACAGCCACATTCACATCCACATCCTCGCCACATCAAACGAGAGCGCCCACAAGGGATACAGTTGTTAACGTGGCCAAGGAGCAGCGACTATGGCGGGCACAAAAACACAAACATGGTTGCCGCAGGACGCTTGCAGTTGAAGGAGCGAGCACTTTATGTGCATATAATGTCCGCTCTCACCCACGGCACACACCCACACACACACACACACACGCGGAGAGGCAGGACCCTTTGAGCCAAGTTGCGGGGAATTGTTAATATTGTCTGGGCCTGTAAGCAGCATTTACATGCTGGCCGACACCACGTACTACATACGTCCTGGCTGATGGACGGTCCCCGGGATGCGGAATCCTTGCCATGCGGATGATGCCCGGCTTTAAGTAGGCCCGCCTGGTAACAGACATTGTTTTAAAAATATGTACATCCTTGCAGCTTGCAGATGTTGAATTAACCGACGATGCCCGACAGCTTTCATTAGGAAAAGGCGGATGGCCAAAGTCCTGGACTTGCCGGGTGAGTATTTGCCCATGTGTGTGCAGCATAGTCCTGATTACATAGCCCGGCTTTTGTACATTAATAAGGGCAGCCAAACGACGGGGATGTGGACGAAGTGGGCTCCTAAAGTTGGGCTCTTTGGAAGTAATAAGAAATGCTTAGGAGGGGGAACTATTCAAGGAACAAACTTAAAGCAGGTGTCATATCCTATAAATAGCTTTAAATAAGCCCGTCATTTAATGGCCTTTGACTGCTCATTTGCATCCACTTTAAAGGGTAACTCCTTCGATATATTAAAGCGGCGGCGCCTCCACACTCCGGTAATCGATTGGACACGGCTGCCAGCCGGATTTCGTCCTCGAGCGTCTTAGGCACTCGAATAAAAAATAATGATGCGAGAGTAAATGAGATGCCATTCAATTCAAATGGCGTGGGATGCACGTGGAATGGCACGCACATGCGAAGGTGTGCCGCACACCCGTACTCCTTATGCCACATCCACATCCTGATCCGAATCCGAATCCATATCTATGTGGATACGGTTGCGCATTAGTGTGCGTGCACAGCGATGCAGGGTGTATATAGGAGTGTGTTATTCCCGATTCCAGAAGTAACACACATGGATAGCTCGCTCATTTACCGCCTACTGTCGCCGCCGGCTGCCGGGAGTCATTCGTCAGTCAATCCGACCATGCCACGACCTGGTAGCGCTCCTCCACTCCGGCCGGATGGGTAGCGCACATTCGTCAGAATTTGCATTTCAATTCGAATGTCAGGATGACGGAGCGTCGAATTTGGGTGGCGTTGCCATCGGAATGAAAATAAATCACGCTGCCTCACCGCATAGCCAACTGGGGAGATGGAAGATGGGTGATGGGATACATGGGCTATATGTGGGGTTGGAAGCTGGATGCTGCGGATGGGGAACGCACCACAGGAGCAAAACAGAGCCACCATTAAACCAAAACAGAGCCTGGGGCGTTCGCTGGGGGTGGAACTCATTTATTCGCATTTTTTGCCCTGCTTTCTGCTGCTCTTTTTGCAAATGCGAAAATGAATGTGGAAACTTTCCGCCATCATTTTGAGTGATGTCAATTAGATTGATTTGATCAGCGAAATATGTGATTTATCAGACAGCAGCAGCAGCAGCAGCAGCAACAGCAACAGCGGCTGGGCGGCCCCAGGACATTCGTCTCATCGCCCCAATCTGCAGCCATCTACATACAATCTCTGTTCCTGGTGGCCAAACCCGGACCACGGTGCGTATGAATATCTAATGCGGCACACACGTACGCAGTCCGCTTCATCACTTGCTCGTCCGTCGTCCATCTACTTCATCAATCAGTCATCTAACTATTCTGGCATCCTGCTCCATTTAGTCGGGACTTAGTCGGCCACATGGCTCTTTAAGAGGCTGAATTTGTGTAAATTCGTCTGTATTTAAGGATTTTCATGGTCATTTATTTGCATGGATCCTTGCAAACCTAACAACTGCTAGCTTGTTTTGTTTACAGACTGTAACAGTTGGTAATTAGATACCTATTTAGATACCTTTCAGATACCTAGATACCTTTGAAATGTATAAACTCTTTAAATGTATCTTTAGACATAGGAGTGACTATTTTCTTAAAGCTAAAGGCCACCTATCCATATTCATACCATTTTAACATACCCATATATACAAAACTATATGATCTAGTCCTCTTTTAGATGAGTTTATATATACCTTCACCCCTAACCCGCTTAACCATGCTGTCCACTATTAACCCCAATCTTCGATGCGGATTTTAGCCCCAAAATGTGGAAACTAGCTGGGCCATCCCCGTGTTGCAAGTTGTTACGACCATAATGAGGGATATTTGATTACGAGTATAGTAACGCATCCGGCTGGCGAATCACTTGGGCACACAAAAGCGGCACGTTACTTGCAACGCCTACGATATTAATAAACCATTGGGCGAAGCACTTGCGGCGCCGCACAAAGCAAATAAAATAAATCAAATCGGAGCAAAGAAAGCAGGCAAATCGCAATCTGAACGCCAGTGTGTAATGGGGAAAAACAAAGGGGAGTCCCCTGTTTTCTTTCGCTTTTTTCTATTTAGGCAGCCCAAATTTATGCGCGCTCTTTGCCCGGCCGCTCCCACGCAATGATTCCAACTTTTCCGGGGATCGGGGAAAAGGGAAAACGGAAAATGGGGGATAGGGAATCTAGCGCTGGTCCTGCGGTTTTTGGGGCTCTGCCTTTTTTCCAGGGGGTGGCTACATGTGTCAATAACTCATTTTCAAATGGGAATAACATCGAATAAAATTCGCGCTTCCTATGGGCCTTGTTTGCCCATTTTATATCCAAGCTGCCAGTGTGTGTGCCAGCCCATTTATTCCTGTGTGTTGGCCCCTCTGACTGATGAAATATCGTGACAAGCAGTATAAAAGCTATTAAAGTCGAGTGTAGATGGCGCTACTTGAATTTGTCAAAATGTCTTTTTACGCGCAGCCGGCGCACACAAGTCCCATACAACACGCCTATGGAAAAGTCGTTCCTGGAGCCGCGAAATCCCAATCCGAATCCGAATGCCTCCCACCCGAAAGTGGAACCACCACCCACCCAAGCACATACGTCATGGGAACGGGTGAAACTTTGATTGATGCCGCTGTGTCACGCAGGCGCGCATGTGGCTAATGGGCGGTCGCCGGCCCTAAAAAACATTCGATATTTGTGGGGGGCGGGGGGCGGGGTCACGGGATGGGGTAGGACCCTGCAAATCAATTGAGTGATGTTGCCAATTTGGGCATGGCTCGTTGGGGCCACGGATTGGGTGAGCTATCTTAATCGAGCGCAAGTTGCTGGTTGCGATGCAGTTGCAAACGCCCGAACAAGTTAGCTTGAGCAGCTGGAAGGCAGTGCACTGGGCGAAAAGACTGACTACAAGACTGGAAAAATGAAATTCGAAATTGGATGGGATTCGAAATAAACAATAATTTGGATTTTATGCAGTATCTGTAGAGTAATTTATAGATACATATCTATAGACTTAAGATCTGAAGTTAGGGAGTTTCATTTAAGATCCTTAGGTGCTCCATAGATTTTCGCCCAGTGGAGTGCCCCGCTGTTGTTCAAGTGGCGTCCACAAATAAACGCGCGCCCCAAATGCATCAAAGTAACGAGCTCAAGCTGCGCGGAGCAGCTCGTCCTGGTCGAAATATCCACATCCACATCCAGTCAAACGCCCTACAAGCGACTGGCGCCTGCAGTCGTGGTATATGAAATTAAGTTAATAAAGCAGTGAAATATCGCCGGTGAATGCAACGCGATTCGCAGGAGGCGATCAGCGGGCGCTAGGCGACTTGCTGCGCCTCCATAAATTGTGGCACTTTGGGGGTCACTCAGCTGCGGCGAGTGAGAGATGTGGCATGCCGCAACACCTGAGGTGTCCACTGGCTTATATTGGTCACATGAAATCCGAGACTGAAGGCGAGCTGCTAATTAAGGAGATTTCGAAACGAATAGCTTGAGATCTTTCGTAGTAACGAATGTCTCTGTGCTCTGTCTCAATCCTTAAGCATTTGAAAGTTAAAGCTTTATGGAGAAGTTCTGGCGCTTTTTGATTAAAATTTTTAGCCGTCTTCATTCGAAATTCCTCCGGGAGTTAAAGCTGTCGAATTGCATTCGAAGGACCCCGAAAAAGCGATTGTGGGGTTTCTATGGTCACCACAAGAGTGTGTGCCCCCGATGATGATGCTGATGATGGTGATGCCATTGTGCGCCATTGTTCACTGGAGCCCCATTGTCTCAGCTAAATTAAGCAAACTTTGCATGGGTGCCGTGCATAGTTTCGCCCCAAATCAATTCACCCGGAGTCGAGGACTCCCTCTGCCCACCTTATCGCCGTGCTCCACTCCGTGCTCATCCCCGTGCGCCGAAAATATGAGTAGGATTTCCCGAAACTCGCACCCTTTCGGCCTCAACTTTTCACTGGGCCATAAGCCGTTCGCCGTGAGCAGAACGCAATAAATTACGTTAAAGACGCCAGACCCAGACCCAGACCCAGACCCAAATCCCGAAATTTGCATTCCGCATTGGAAGAGTGGGGGGCCACCCCTGCGGAAAACCGGCACACGCATCATCATAATTAATAAGAGACAATTTGACAATGGCCCTTTAGCGTTAACAGCGGTATTACTTTCAGCAGCGAAGTGAGCAGCCGCCGGAAAGCACGCACACACTCAAACACACACCCAAACACACACTTAGCATCGCCGGATGGAACACACCCCCTTGCCATTTTGCGCCAAATTAAATTCAACCTCAATTGAGGGGTTAATTTCTATCACCAGGCAAACAAAAACCAAAACAAAAACAAAAACGCCCAGCCCGCAGACGCTACGTGGGGTGGTCCTTGAAAAGGGGGGGAGTGGGTGGTTGGTTGGGTGGCTGGCGGTTAGGGGGATGTTTGGGTGGCTTCCTAGATCGCCCCATTATCTGCATCGAGTTCCACATAGAAAATCATTACGGCATTCGCACCATGAGACGTATTCAATTTGAGTGTCGTTGAGCTCTTTATTACGTTAGTGTGAAAGTCGCGTGCACCGAAAGCCCGTTCGTGCACTGAGAGAAAAACCAGGGACATTTTTACAACAGAACCTTTTGAAATAAATTACAGGAGCTGAGCTAAATAAGCAATCGCTAAAGCTACGATCTTAATCTCATCTAAGAGATCCTAATTCTCAAGCTAAGATACTTTAGATACTAAGATACTTTCAGTTTATAACCAACAAAGCGTGTATCAACCATTTAATCTATAATGCAGATATATTTTGTTGATTAATCAGCAACTTTTTGTTTATATATTAATCATGGTTAGGAAAATTCTGCAAATTTTAAAAGGGATTTGTCTATTTTGTATATAATTAGAATTGTAATGATATACAAAATATTGGAATAAATATTTGAAAAGTTATTTTTTATTTTTTTTTATTTTTATTTTTTTTATTTTTATTAGAATTGTAAGATATACAAA